AGCATGTGTGGCTAATGTGGTTAGAATGATCTGACCGTATCTAATATCACCAGAAGATCAATACAAAAAGTTATGTTTTGTGAAATGAGTGTTGGTGTGGTGTCAGGGGTGAATGTGTTGGCATTCGGTGATAACCGAATGATAATCGTTGAGAACGCACAGGGGATTACAGGGGTTTACACACATTCAGAAATACACATAATGGGGTATTTGTAAGCGGAGCAGAACCATCACACAAAAACATTTGCCTTACCAGGAATTTGCCTGCTGGTTTTTATATAGAGATTACGCCTGCTGACATCACTTCAGCACAGCTATGACGTTAGCAGACACTTTGTGATTGAATCTAGTTTACAGCCTGTAACTGTAACGTAATGATTTTGTTGTGAAACATTGCTTGTATGATGGACATGCGCATGAAAAGAGACGTCTGGTAAATATTACCCATCATCCTAGACAATCAACTGCATATTACTGAGTGTTAAAGCCCAATAGTGTGGTTACATACCCTTGCTAGTTGCTTACTGCCTACATACAGACAGCGTAACCAAAAATGAAAACACAGCGTGAAACGAAAATGCACAAGAGACATTCATAAACATATTCATAAAAATAAATCTTATTGACTCCAAACTTTTGAACAGTAGTTTATCATTGTACTGAGTCTCTAAGGTCTTTCTTCCAAACTGAACTGATATGTGCGACATAGGCAGATGTTCAAAGACTCAAAGACCCTAACACTTGCAAAATACAACTGTGAATACCAATAAACTACAACAGTGGCCATCTACTTTTTCAGGAGTCTTGGTTTTGAAAGTATTTTTATTTATTTATTTTTCCCAATAGGGATTCTTAAAAAACAGTAATAAGCTATGAACCAAACAAATCAGCTACAAGGTGAATCACATTAGGAAGTTTGATTTGAATCAAAAAAAGTATTTGAAAATCAGACAAAAATGCATGTGTTAAACAATTAATAGAAAGAAAAATTGCTTGGGCTGATGGCTTCAACAGAAGCATATATGAATCATTAACAACCTCATAGCTCAGCCTCACAGTACATCTGTCTTCAAGAGTTTAAAAGTTATCATTAAAAATCTTCGTGAACTTAGTGAACACAGACAAGCGGAATGAAATGTTCCAGTGTTGTTGGACTTTGTATCATCACCCTTAGAATAGCATTCAGATTGGAGAACCGTAGCTTTTATATACTAAAATATTAATCACCTACAAGTAGACGCCTTTCACCACCAAAGTCATTTATCAGAATAATATTTCACCATTTCCTAAGTGCCAGGCCATTCGTCCTTCTGAACAGACACGTGATGAGAAAGAGGATTGTAGCATTCATTCATTCACCTCTCGCAAAGGTGCCTTCCAAGATCCATTTCAGAGCACATATTGTGTCACACAAGGACACATCTGCTCCAACCTTAACGTGCACCACAGCCTTTTCAAACGACAGCCTCCATTAAAGAAAACCGCCCTCTCTTTCGCTGACCCCAATTCAATGCACGATTCACCCATCTCCATTTTCCCAGGTCTCCCCGCCGCCGGCCCATTGCCCCCTCCCCCCCTCCCATGAACTCAATTAAAGTTACCTGTCTGTGAACTGTTCTTTCTTTCCGTAGAACTGACAGCTCTGAAAGGGTCGTCCTTATTAGCTGTAGATGTACAGGGGTCACGGGCTCACCAGGAGTGTTCGCTCTATGATGCATGAGGAGGAATGTGTCACATCAACAGTCACCAACCTGTGCGCACATTACTGAGATGTCATTGAACGCAACTTTAAGGAACACACTCTGCCCGTTCCATTATGTACATTTTGACCCTGTGATTTGTGGCTGTGGGTGTTTTCTTTTAAATAACATGCCAAAAAAAGGGATATCTGTTCCATACTGTGGCCTCAAATTGTTTTTTGAATAATTCAAGGGATAGTTCACCCAAAATATGAAAATTGCCATAATTTTCTCACCATATGGTGTTCCAGCTCTGTATTACTATTATTAAACATTTTGAAGAATGTCGGTAACAAACCAGTTTTGCTTCCTATATATTGACAAAAAATGCATTGGACGTCAGTGGAAACTAAAACCGTTTGTACCAACATTTTTCAAAAATGTGACCCTGGTCATAAGGGTCAATTTTTTTAAATTGAGATTTATACATAATCTGAAAGCTGAATAAGTAAGCTTTCCATTGATGTATGATGTTTCTTAGGATAGGACAATATTTGGCCGAGATACAACTATTTGAAAATCTGTAATCTGAGGGTGCAAAAAAATCTAAATATTGAGAAAATCGCCTTTAAAGTTGTCCAAATTAAGTTCTTAGCCATGCATATTACTAATCAAAAATAAGTTTTGATATATTTATGGTAGGAAATTTACAAAATATCTTCACGGAACATGATCTTTACTTAATATCCTAATGATTTTTGGCATAAAAGAAAAATCGATAATTTTGACCCATACAATGTTTTTTTGGCTATTGCTAAAAATATACCCAAGCGACTTAAGACTGGTTTTGTGGTCCAGGGTCACAAATATCTTCAGAACAAAGAAAGTCTTACAGGTTTGAATGTACATTTTTGGGTGTCAAATGTATGGATATCCAGCCTGGTCTCATGTTTATACGTAGGTATTAATACGTAACATTTACAAGCACAAAACGTACACTTTTGTACGTTTTTAATCATGCTAAAACGTACAATTTAGACGTTTTTCTACGTTTAAAACGTACAAATCGCTACGTATTTTTAGCTAAAAAACGTAAAAATATTTACGTTATCTTTTATATCATTTAGATATTCATATCAATGCATTTTTATCAATAAGCGATTTAGATTTTTAGACCTCTTAACCTACCCCCAAACCTTAACCTACCCATTTTATAGCGCACTCCTACCTATAAGCCTAAACATTTCTGTACAGTATAAGAAAAACATGACAGACTAAAAGTAATCCAAAAAAAGCAGTACTAAAAGTAATCCAAATGACGATGCGTTGCACCCGCAGTCCTCTCTGGCGGAATACAGTAGGTTTGTGTGATCCAGAGCAGAATTTATGTTGTTAATCGCTGAAAATATTATCTAGATAATTTTCCCGATCCACTCCGTGAACTCGTGAAGGCGCCCGCGCATCATTCAAACACACCTCACCAGAAACACGGCATGTCGCAATCTGTGACGAATGCAGGCGAGAGCCAATGAGCGTTCGATTATCCTGTCGTAAAACCTGTCGTTTTAAGCGGCAACATTTGAATTTGTAAAGAGCGTCAGTCAGCGCGGGCTTTGCTGCTCACCGTCACTGGACTCGCTGCTCGAGATGGAGAAGCAAGCAGATCGCCAAATAAAGGCTTGGATTTGGGTCTGTTCCTCACAGTCGTATGGATTAGGAAGATCTGGATTACAGCGCACTTATAAAATTGTTTCATTTCATAATTATGTTGCGTTTTTGGTGTAGAAAACGCCTTTTGTGGCCCATGACAATCAAAGTAAACATTAAATGACAAGTAAAGGTTAAATGATTGCAGAAATGTTATTTATTTTAAGGTTTAAAGTGAAGTCGTGTTTAACATTATGTAGGCATGTTCTTGGAAACGAGCTGGCAGCAGAAATCACAACAAAACTAAATGTTATAATTTCATAAGTAAACAATTTAATAATGCAATTGAATACAAGTTAATTCATATGACAACTAAAAACTAATAAAATTAATGCCGCGATTTCAATATTCATAAGGATTCATTTTTAGGTGTCGTCAATACGTCAGTTTTGTACATTAAAATGCTGAAAATACGTATGTATTTGTACGTTTAGAGGCTGAAAATACGTAAGTATTTGTACGTTTTAGTGCCTGTAAAAACGTAAGTAAATGTACGTTTTATAGAACCACATTTTTTACGTAAAATACATACAAATTATCATGAGATCACGTTGGGATATCATATGTATGAATGTCATTGCATCAAAACAAATTTCAAACCAAATTAAATTTATTTTAAAGAAAGCACACTTTTCAAACAACGTATTTCCTAAATTTAAAATGCATTAGATATACTGCTTAAAAGTAAGATAAGCAAGATCAATATTGCATTTATCAGTTATTTTGTTATTATTTAGCCACTATATTTAACCCTAATCTGTTCATAAACCATGTATGCGTGTTTAACATCTCATCTTTGGATTACTTTGTGCATTTGTCTAGAGTTTGATGTGACACATGCTACTTAAACAGAAATGAAGCATTAAACTAGATAAATGGATACTTAATTGAACCCCCAGGCAGTAAATTAACATGCTACTTTTTTAATGAAATGATTTTCATTCTCATTATTTGTTTTGCCTGTGGTGTCACTCGTATTAGTCAGTACACATTTAAAAGTGTAACATTAAGTTTTATTTGACTTACATATTCCACTCCAACTTTTCTCTCTCAGTTGATTTTCTTGTTTTGAACAATGTGACATGTTCTCGTGTAAACTATGGGCACTAAATACAACTTTCCAACTGAGAAAGCAAAGCCAAAATGAAGCATTTATTTAGAACAAAAGTGCTGCCCTGACATCCTCTGAAGATGAAATTGGGGGTTGATCTAACAGCATTTAAATTTTTTTTGTTTGCTGCAATACACCTCCGAACACTCCATCACTTTATGACAGCTAAATTTAGGGTTGTACTGACTATCAGATTGAGTCATACAAATACACAAAAGTTCTACATTTAGAAAAATCAGTGGGCGCAATACCACATACATTTTTAGCACATGGGTCAAACCCCCTGGGCGCTTCATTTTTCCCCTCTGTATTTTCACATGCTGTTTTTCATTTACATCATGCTCTTTGTGTTATCTTTATTTCTAAACTTATATCTGTAAATAGTTTTATTTTGTGTCATTGTTGTTTTTCTGCTCTTTCTTCCACCTTTTCTGCCTTGCATGCACACATCTCTCTCTGCATGGCTTGACTGCATGCTGTAAATTGTTCTTGATGGAGTGTAGCTCCCTATACCCAGATACAAAAAGGTGAGTTACTCTTTATTCACTACTTTCCCACTTCCCAAGCAAATTCCCTCTGTCTTTCCTGTCGAGACTCAGTTGATTCACTCCAGCACTCCAGTAACACTGAAAAACTCTTGCTAGCTGGAATGTACTCTCTGAAATGTGAAAAAAAAAAGACTACTATTTTTGAGCCATTGTTACATCCTTATTTTTACATGGCAGGGACATACATTTCAATTTTTGAAATTGTTTACATTTTTTTAGACTGTTTTTTTTTTTTGCATTGACCAAATACCTAGGAGGTCATTTACTTTTAAGTAAACTCTAGTCATTTGTATGTAGAATTATTAAATGCCATATATTACATAAAATATATGCCTATATAACTATGTAGTATTTTTGTGTGAAAACCAGATCTTAGAGTCTCCTTTATGTGTGTTCCTTGTGTATCATACCTATATCTGTCCTGTGACACATTTTCTTTTTGTTGGCTCACTTATTGACAAAATAGATTATCTTAAATTAAGATAAAGTGCTTTCCCATGGGCAGATGTAAGCTTAATGTTAAATAATGGCCTTTTATTAAGTATTTATGTTGAATAGATACATTTATCTCAGGCCGATTCATTTCTGTTACCATGTAAATGTACATTTCTCTCTTGAATGGTAATTTTTCACTGTGAAGACCATGCATAGTAAGAGACTGCAGAGACTGTATCTCTCTCATTTGTTCTCATATGGGTGGGTGGGTGTTTATATGCATATGGTCTTCAGTGCAGCACAGAGCCCAGAGTTGTCTGTGGCCATGTCTCGCCCCCATACATACATTCATGACTTAAGAATGAGATGAATCCATTGGCTGCTAGTGCTTTCACATTCATGCGGGCATTAATTTATCTTTGCGTCTGACGTAAAGCACAGCAGCAGCCTGTGCACAACCATAAATCAGGTAGAAAGAGAGTGAAAGTGTGTTTGGTTGGTTAAGGCCTCCTGCCATGCTGTGTTAAACATAAAGTAACCCTCACAGCTCAGTATTCGATCTTTCAGTGGCTTATTCGTACATTATTATATTATATTATATTATATTATATATTTTGTACAAACATCTACAGATTGAGGGGCTCTGATTCATGATCTGAAGAATTTCTGACCATGCAAAACTCAGCAAGCACAATGCTAAGGACGGGTGGGTAGTTACCTGTAGAGATGTATTTGATTGATAATAGATTTGGATGTAACGCTTTAGTATAGTGAGCAATTCTCACTATTAACTAGTTACTTATTAGCATGCCTATTATTAACATATTGACTGTTTATTAGTACTTATAAAGCACATATTCTGCATGACCATATTCTACATTCATAATCCTACCCAATACTACACTTAATAACTACCTTACTAACTATAATAAGCAGCCAATTAGGAGTTTATTGAGGCAAACGTCATAGTTAATGGTTTGATAACAGCAAGAATTGGGCGTTAAAATAAAGTGTGACCGGATATATATTTTTAGGCTTTTCAACTTGTTCAAAAAGTACAGTAAAAAGACAAAGTACAATTTAAGTAATTTTTTCAGTATATTTTTAAGTCAGGTAATGACATAGCTCTTTCACTTCAGTCTTCAATGCCACATAATCATTCAAAAATAATTTTAATATGTTGATTTGGCTGTCAAGAAATATTATCAAAATAATTGTGCTGATTAATATTTTAGTTGAAACCAATATAAATTTTTTCCAGGATTCTTTGATGAACAGAAAGCTCAAAAGAACAGAATTTATTGGTAACACTTTATAATAACGTTCAGTTGTAAGTCATTTATAAGTCATTGGTTAATGATTAACTAATATTTTACAAAACATGACTATGTGTTCATAAATGATAAGTGACATGTTAATATTTTTTTCTATGTTTTGTAGATTAAGTTATAAATAATTTACAAGTGATTAGATAATAATGAACTAATCATTTACAAAACATGACTATACGTTCACAAATGATTATTAAGTAATATGCTAATGATTTACAAATCTGTCGTAAGTTATCTTAAAAAATTGCATATCATGAAATAATCAAACAGATCCTTAGTAAATGGTTAATAAGTTATGGTTATAAATTATTCATTGGAATGTCAACATTGTACTATTGTCTCAATAAACATTTGTTAATCATGAACAAATGATGATCAAACCATTAGTAAATTATCGGTATATAATTTTTGTATGTTTCGTTAAAGTTGTAATCTGGTCTGTTAAAAAGCACAAAAATGCAATTATGCTAAAACTATTTTTTTTTTAAGAATAATAAATTATTTGCCATCAAGTGAATAAGGATGTGTAAATGACTTAGTCAGGGGATTCCAGTGGGTTGTGTTAAACCCTTTCTCTCTTCAGGTGTACAGTGTTAAAATACTCCATGTGTGTCAGAGAAAACATCTGTCTGAACCCTCACCAGTGAGCCTTTACATTGCAGTACACACTACAAAGTATTCAAAACCTGCGGTGTAAATGCATTTACAAAGCTTTTTGCGTCCCCTAATATAAAGTGTAAACTACTCATCAGTTGTACATGTGTTACACATCATTTGTAGATTTTTCTTATGTAGCGTCTGGACCACTCAAACACACAATATATATTTTGTTAGCTAGATTTAACAAATACTCTGTAACACCCCAGGAAGCCGAACAGGCCCCTGGTTCCATGGTAACCCTGACATTCGATACATTTACGACCTCCTGGAATTTAGGTGAAGAAAATCGCTTCCTTGCCCATAGGGAAAATCCACAAGGGAAGGACTTTTCTTTGCTAATTAATTAATAGGAAAACCTTTCTTTGAATGAACACACATGATCCTTCAGGTCATTGGGTATATTATTGTCATCGTGATTTTTGTCTTTGAAATTGTATACTGTTATGCAGGCTTAGAATCGAAACACACTACTGTCAGCTTACATATATATAACCCTACCATGCTTAGTATCTATGAATTCGTATTCGGATGATCTAATTGAGAGTGTATATTGTATGTTTACACCTACGCAACATATTAGTGTTCTAAGAGTCTTTAATAATTTTTATCCGAGTTTCATATGCAAATTACCATGCTTTCAAACAAAGGGCCATAAAAATGCCCCAGTATCTCAGAACTCCCACTTGAGATTCCGGACTTCCTCATTGGACAAGCCCATCTTGAGAGGCGTGAATCTTTGCAGGCTTTAAAGGCCGCACTTCATGTGACCCTCCCAGTCGGTGGTTCTGTTTGGTTTCGATAAGACGCTCCAACGCTCCAGAACATCCTAAGCTCGTGTTAATGCAAACAAGTCTTGAAGGACTGAAAGCACCACGTTCTAAAACAGTGGGCAACTTTTTTTTAAATAGGCAGACACTAAACTGCTTGAATTGCACTGGCATGCATTGGTTACCGTGACAACAACTTGTCACAGGAAGCGCTAACTTCACATAGCACAACACGCCATGTTGTAAACAAACCACCTGAAGTTGTCTATTCTATGGACAACAACGTTCGAAAGGGGGGGAATTTGTACATTGTTTGCTCATAACTGGAGTCACTTAATCATGCAGATTTATGCTACAAGCTTTTGTAGAATTGTACAGTAAGAAAGTTATTTCCTTTAACCAGGAAATTAATGTTCTTAGAATTGACAAGACAGTTGACCCTGAGAGGTCAGCTAAATATTTACAGCGGATCTAAAATATTCATAATTAATTATAACTAGTTATGATTAATTATTCATATTTCCCATGAGCTGATTCGTTACACTTACCCGTTACAAATGATCTGTAGATGTATACAAGGCATTCATAAACACTTTCTGCATCCCCTAAACTGTGTAAGTGTAAAATACTCATCAGTTCCTTCCGGTTACAGGTTCTGTACAGAATCATTTGTAACAGGTAAGAAAAATCTACAAATGATGTGTAACACATTTACAACTGATGAGTAGTTTACACTTTAGATTAGGGGACGCAGAAAGCTTTGTAAATGATTTATTCATGCATTTACACAACAGGTTTTGAATACTTTTTAGTGTGTACTGCAATGTAAAGGCTCACTGGTGAGGGTTCAGACAGATGTCTTCTCTGACACACATGGAGTATTTTAACACTGCACTTCGAGTGGAGGGTAAAACCGGTTCACATTATCACTAGATCCCACACACTCCACACAGAACACAAGTCTGTGCTGATATATTGTGCTAATATATTAACTAGTAACCATTTACTAAGAATCGGTTTGATTATTTCATGATGCTATTTTTTAAGATAACTTACGACAGATTTGTAAATCGTTAGCATATTACTTAATAATCATTTGTGAGCGAATAGTCATGTTTTGTAAATGATTATTTCATCATCATCTAATCACTTGTAAATGATTTATAACTTAATCTACAAAACAGATTTATATATAAGAATATTAACATATCACTTATTGATCATTTATGAACGCATAATCATGTTTTGTAAACGATTAGTTCATCTTTAACTAATTAATTGTAAATGAATTAACAAAACATGCACAAATTGTTAGCATATCACTTATGAATGTTTTGTAAATGATTAGTTCAACTAATCACTTATAAATGAACAGCAACAGCAGGAGTGAATAATTTACAACTGAACTTTATTATAAAGTGTTACCAATTTATTTGAAATATAATTTTTGTCACCATCAATTTAATGCACCCTTGCAGAACAAAAGTATTAATTGTGTGTGTGTGTGTGTGTGTGTGTGTGCGTGTGCGTGGGCGTGCGTGTGTACATAGATCAATTCTGTCATTAATTTCTTACACTCATGTCGTTCCCAACCTGTGAGACCTTCATTCATCTTCGGGAACACAAATTAAACATTTCTGATGAAATCCGACAACTTTCTGACCCTGCATAGACAGAAACGCAACTGTGCACAAAAAGTATTCTTGTAGCTTTATAAAATTAAGGTTGAACCGCTGATGTCACATGGACTATTTTAACCATGTCCTTACTATGTTTCTGGGCCTTG